AAACTTTCACTGTCAGGTTTTAAATATACGAAAAGTGGGCATGGTTCTTTGCAGAGAAGGTTTAGAATAAGTAATAAAGGCAAATATTGAAGAAAAATTAATTACAAAAAAAATCAAACGTTCTGTCTTTTTTCCTTTTAATTCAAAATGCAGGGTAATGAGTAACTAAATATTTAATAGTATTAATATAATAAAAAATTTAACTGATTTTACTGCGCAAGGGTCGACAAAAAAGTTGTTGCCCATAACTTACATTCAATTTGGGATAATTTCAAATAAAAGTAGAAGTAGTAGTAGTTTCACGGTGGTGGAGCCACGCAGCAGTTTTTGCTGTTGCACGTATGGGCCGGCTCGAGCCGGGTTGGTACCACGACCTCACAGAATACCAGCGTGAAGCGCTCTGCTTCTGCGTTTCGTCTGGTGAGTGCAGGTAGGTGGCCGGAGGCCCAATTCCCCCCCCCCCCCCCCCCAATTTTACACCAAAGACTACCAGGAGGGTACTAGCACCCCTGGACAATCCCTCGCTGAGCATCCACGACCATGTTATTTCACTCCTGAGCGTGGTTGCTCAGGCTGGCCCGCGTATTCTGGGGGGGGGGGGGGCAAAATTCCGCTCAAAAACATAACTGCTCGGGGCAAACTGAGCAACAATACCAAGGCGACCCCTGCCACGTTATCCGTGAATTTCTGCAACATCTGGGGACTTCACTCGAACGTAAACGCCGTTCACTACCACCTCGAGACGGCGAAGCCGGCCTTGCTCTTTCTGACCGAGACGCAGGTGTCCTCTCCGGCTGATACTTCGTATCTCTCATGCCCAGGCTACAAATTGGAGCACTCCTTTGTGCCTCGGCCTGGAGTTTGCGTGTATGTCAGAGAGGACATCTGTTCTCGACGCCTCGGCAGTCATGAAGGTTCGGACCTGTCCATCCTTTGGCTACGCGTAGACAGCGACGACCATCCGCGCGTCTACGGGTGCCTCTATAGGTCCCATAGCGGTAATGCCGAAACAGACCGACTCATCGACCACGTCCAAATGGCTACAGATTCCTTGTTACAACAGGTCCTATCCGCAGAGATCGTGATCCTTGGCGATTTTAACGCCCACCACGCCGAATGGTTCGGTTCACGTTTAACCGATCATGCGGGGAGATCTGTTTATGACTTTGCCTTGGCATATGGTCTGACACAACTGATTACTTCGCCTACGCGGATTCCAGATGTGGAGGATCATACACCTTCCCTGTTGGACCTTCTGCTGAACTCTCATCCGGACGGATATCAGGTTTCCGTCGATGCCCCTCTCGGCTCTTCGGATCATTGTCTGATCCGGAGTGTGGTGCCACTCACGCTCCCCTCGCGGTTGCGTTCTTCAGGTTGCCGCCGTGTTTGGCATTACAGGTCGGCGGATTGGGACGGAATGCGGTCTTTCTTTGCATCCTACCCATGAGGGCGGGTTTACTTCTCGCTGGATGATCCCAGCGCTGTTGCTAACTCTGTCACTGATGTGGTGCTACAGGGAATGGAACTATTTATTCCATCATCTGTGGTACCCATCGGAGGCAGATCTCAGCCTTGATTTGGTCGCTCCTGTAAGACTGCATTACGCAGTAAGCAGGAGTGTTATCAAGCCTGGGCTGCGGCTTCGGCGACTCGGGATGTAAACACCAGCACACTTAAAAAGAAGTATAACTTTGCCTCCAGGTCCTTCAAAAGAGTTATTGCCAAGGCAAAGTCAGAGCACATAGGCAGAATTGGCGAGAAACTAGTTCGCCTTCCTTCGGGAACCCGTGCATTTTGGTCTCTAGCCAAGGCTGTCCAAGGGAATTTCTGTAAGCCTTCACTATCATCTCTGCACAGGGAGGACGACTCAGTGGCCCACGCCGCAAAAGAGAAAGCCGACCTTTTAGGCTCCCTTTTTGCTTCCAACTCGACTCTTGACGATGGGGGGAAAACACCGCCGATCATCCCGCGGTGTGAGTGCTCCATGCCGGATGTGCTGTTTTCACAGCGCTCGGTTCGCAAAGCACTCCTCTCCCTGGACATCCAGAAGTCGAGTGGGTCTGACGGAATCCCCCCAATTGTGCTGAGGACGTGTGCTCCGGAGTTGGCACCGGTCCTAACGCGTCTTTTCCGGTACTCCTACTCCCAAGGCGTAGTCCCGAATTCATGGAAGACAGCTTTTGTCTACCCGATCCTTAAAAAAAAGCGACCGCTCTGACCCGTCCAACTACAGGTCTATCGCCATCACCTCCTTTTTCTACAAAATAATGGAATCCAATATTAACTGCTAGCTCATGCGGTACCTTGAGAATCACCAGCTGATTAGTGACCGCCAATACGGTTTTCGCCGGGGTCAATCAGCTGGTGATCTTATGGTCTACCTGACCCATAGATGGGCGGAGGCAGTAGAGTCCAAGGTTGGCGTTGGCCGTTAGTTTGGACATCGCGAAGGCCTTCGATCGGGTTTGGCACAAAGCGCTTCTTTCGAAGCTCCCTTCCTATGGGCTTCCCGAGAGATTGTGCAATTGGATCACCAGTTTCCTTGCAGATCGGAGCAAAGAAGTCGTTGTAGATGGTGCATGCTCCGACTACAAGCCTATTAACGCTGGTGTTCCACAAGGCTGTGTGCTATCACCAACGCTGTTTCTTCTGCATATCAATGATATGTCGCTAACTGGTAACATTCATTGCTATGCGGATGACAGCACTGGTGATGCTCCATATACCGGCCGTGCCAATATTTCTCGGGAAAACGTCTTCGAGTACCGCAACAAACTTGGGTCTGAAGTCGAGTCTTTGCGGAACAAAGTCTCGAATTGGGGGCGACTAAATCTAGTCCAGTTTAATTCTCAGAAGACACAAGTTTGCGCGTTTACCGCTAAAAGGAACCCCTTTGTCGTGTCTCCTCAGTTTCAAGGCACTCCCCTTCTCGCCTCAGCCAGTATCGGAATCCTCGGAGTCGACATATCGAGTGACGTGCAGTTTCGTGGTCACTTGGAAGAGAAGGCCAAATTGGCCTCTAAAAAGCTTGGCGTGCTCAGCAGAGTGGGACAGTATTTCATGCCGGCACACCGCCTGCAACTTTACAAGGCGCAGGTTCGGCCTCACATGGAATACTGTTCCCATCTCTGGGCAGGGACTCCCCAGTGCCAGCTCCTTCCACTTGACCGCATCCAGCGCACAGCGGCTCGAATCGTCGACGACCGAGTCCTTTTCGATCGGCTCGATTCATTGGCACTGCGAAGAGATGTTGCATCCCTTTGCATTTTCTTCCGCATCTACCACAGGGAGTGCTCTGAGGAATTGTTCGGATTAATCCAAGCCGCCAAATTTCACGAACGCACATCGCGGCAAAACTCCCGATACCATCCACATCATCTGGATGATTGGCGGTCCACCACTGTTCGATTTAGAAGATGTTTTCTTCCTCGCACGACTTCCTTGTGGAATCGATTACCATCAGCGATTTTTCCGGACTGATACGACTTAGGGATCTTCAAGAAAAGAGCCTACTCCTTTTTAAAAGGCCGGCAACACATCTGCGATTCCCCTGGTGTTGCAGTTGTTCATGGGCGGTGGTAGTCACTTACCATCAGGTGAACCGCATGCTCGTTTGCCCCCTCTCCTATAAAAAAAAAGAAGTCTTATTTACTCATATTTTCAAAAACTGCAATAACGGTATATTTGAATCTTTATTTATATTATTTTATTATGAACTTAAGTTTAAAATTTGGCTACTCTTTGAAATATAACTCTGTATAATGAATATCAATAACATAATATTAAGAAGATATACGATTACGCGTCTGTCAAAAGTGAAATAAAACAACAGTTAAATCCTCAAAACTCTTTAAAAAAAATTATTTTGGTAGGAATAATTCAAAGCGTCCATTCGTAAGATTTATAATAACCGGCGCTCTTGACAGACGGATCGTCAGCAATACCAGACGGTTCCCCTTTGACGCTGCTCCCCTTCATCAATGTATCTTACTTCTAGAGTACGTCTTATGATTATAACGCCGTTCTTTCCAAAAGTTGTTATTTAAGACAATTGCAGAATGAAATGGGGTGACGCAGCCACTACCCTGCAATATTCCATTCTGGACATCACAACAACATCGTCAACGTAGCTGAGCCATGCCGTCGCTATATTATGGTTGCAGCATGAATGGGTCGTCTCAACCAGGGGAGTATTAGCGTGCAATGTTTAGTATGGCGAGTGTAAAGAACTGGAGACCCTATTTACTGGACACAAGGTTTTTTATTTTATCTAAGTCCTCGGGGGAGACAACGCATCTGCATTTTGATGCTTAATCGATCATCCACTTAACATCAGGTGAGCTAAACCATTATAACCAAACTGTTTAAATTTTTTAGTATTTAATACCGTACCGTAGCAACAATTTGTCCAAATTGTAATAATTTCGGCTTCATATAATATCTAAAATCTTTGATGTGTGGAGTACATTAATTTATAAATTTCTCAATCCCAAGTATATATATATATAATCCCAATCTCAAGTATTTTGATTTTACTTTCCTTGAGTGTTTTTTGCAATAATTATATTTTACTGATAATTTATAATCGTAATATACATGTTATAAATTGTACATGCGCTTTGTTTAGTTAGAACTATATAAGTGTATAACTCTAAAGAGAATCATGGTTGCCTTCGTTTTGACGTTTCGTTGTTTTTAAGAGTAAAATAGCAGCTTAACACTGCTGTGTTTCGTATGGTGAGTGTAGAGAACCGGAGACACTTTTTACTGGAAAAGAGGCATTCCATCTTAGTCCACACGGGTGACAACGCATCTGCATTATGATTCGTAAACGAGGATAAATGTAGATGCCTATGGGCCACAGCAACCACTTACCATCAGGTGGACTGTGTGCTCGTTTGTCACCCTATCCTATAATAAAAATAGGCTGACTCGTGAAAATTGTTGCAAAGCTAAATAATATAATGGAATAATAATAAATAATATATGTGTTTCAGGTGTACGGGGGTAAACCACTGTAATTTTCTACTTGAAGAGGACTACCCGCCGGCAGCAGAATGGCCGCCTGGAGTTATCTCTATAAAATACGCTTGTTTTGATGGTAAGTCTAATTATGACTCAATTTCAATGCGATTTTTTCTTCTTTCTACACTAGGAGTTGTACGTAATATTTTAAATATTTAAACTGTACATGGACAAGCATCAATACATGGCACAATTATTTGTAGCTGATACAGTGTCTTGTTTCGTGAAATATGCAAAACCCGCGGCCAGCATCGCAGCTAAACGCTTAGCCAATGCGCTACCTAGCTGTTTAGAGAAACTTGATATATTCCACCTTACACAACTAATGTATGGTGGCAACGTAGTAGAATCTAATAACACTAATCTATGTGCATTATTTGTTCAAATTCGTTATCATTAACGTCTTCATTAATTTAAGAGTAGGTACTGTTACGGCCTACGGTTGCTCCCTTAAAGGATCCAATCCCCTGGGGCCCATGAGCAGAAGACTTCCCGAGCAAACGTAGGTCGGGCCTCAATGTGGCCACGTGGAATCTCTCTAATTACACTAGAATATATGGGGGAGCGTTATACTACGGCCAGTCGACCGGAAGGAATTTGGACGAAGCTTACTTACCTCTATCCAAGGCGACTGGTCCCTCCGGAGTCGGTCAGGTCGCATGTGGTTGTGTAGTGCAAGGGAAAGAATGGTGATGTGGTGTGTATCTGGGTGTGACTGATGGTGATTGAACCTAGACCTTGGCCGTCGGCAGCAGCCCGAGCGTCGACACCGCTCCAACTTGAGGGGGCCTTTCGAGGTTATCCACAGTCACTTTCTTCTTTCGTTACGTTGACAGTCAATTAACTCTATCGTACGATTTACTAACTTACAGAAGCCACTAACTATCGCTGGGTATACTAGTTACCGCACAAACGCACACGGAGTTTAAAGGGTCAAAAGTCACTACCGTTTCGCATAGCAATAGTTAATTCTAGAATATCAGAGGCCGCTCTATCTAATATTGCCGAATGCACTTATGCAGGTTCTGAGTCAGACACAATAAGTCCCGGGAAGCTCTCCAGTAGGAATGCGCGTCACAATGATACACCGTATATTTACTGGCCGCGCCGAATTATTCCGAGTTCCCTAACAGAATACAGCGTGCCAATCGTTAGCACCGCTTATGGACGACTGCCCTTGGGCGTTTTACGCACGACCGAATGTCAAACCGGTATGACACTGAGCCGCACGCCCTCTCGCGTTCGTTCCTTGAAAGTGTTTGGCGCGAACAGGTACTGTTGTAGTCCAAAGTTAAGTATAGTCTAGCAAACAAAATTGTTGCGCCAATACTTTCTTCTACGCTGTTATATCTACCCTTCTTCCTCCCAGATGGAAAAAATCTCTGTCGGCGCAACTGGCATTGTTAATTGTAGTTTGAAGTGCTGAATTACTATAAACTTGGCGGTGAATGAAAACATCGTGAGGAATCGTGGCTGAAAAATAAAAAAAATACGAAGATCTGACAACCGATGTAGAGGAAAGGTTCTCGAGTGGCAGCCTCGTACTGGTGAGCGAAGTGTAGGGCGCCCCCCCCCCCTCCCCTTAGATGGAGTGACGACCTGGTAAGACATGCAGGAAGTCGATGGATGCAGGTGGCTCAGGACCGTGCTTTGTGGCATTCCTCGGGGGAGGCCTATGTTCAGCAGTGGACTTGTGAAGGGCTGTAATGATGATGATGATGCTATAATATGTTTGCCAGTTACTAAGTTTGCCAGCTTACTAATCCGTTGAGCTATGTTGGTCACTCTGGTTCTAATGCGGATATCCTCATTTCTAAGTTTATCACGCAGAGAAATACCGTGCATAGCCCTCTCCATAGCTCGCTGAGCGACCTTGAGCTTCCTCATCCGGCCAGCAGTGAAGGACCACGTCTCAGTTCCATAAGTGATCACTGGCACTGGTTGTAAGTCTCGTTTCAAGTTTTTAGGTATACCTGACGAAGATGTGTCGTAATTTCTCGAACGCTGCCCAGCCGAGTTGAATCCATCGATTGACCTCTCGGTCGAATTTGGACTTACCTAGTCGGACTATTTGTCCCAGGTAAACCAAACTCGTCAACAACTTCGAGTTTAGTGCTCCCAACAACTAGCGGCATAGGTTTGACATGGACGTTATACATGATCTTTGTTTTGTCCATGTTCATCTTAAGACCTATCCGTTGGGAAGCACTATTGAGGTCATTAAGCATAGTATATTACGACATATTACATATTATAGTACGATAACCAAACGAGATAGAATGACTAACTGATCAAAATCAAAAGAATATTTTATATAATATTTAATTTAGGCGATAGAGATACAAACACACCATTAATATTTAAGCAACCCTAATCTGCAAATTTTATTATTTATCAGAAGCTTCAAATTGAATTCGCCCGGTCTGTAAGAACGCTCGCAACACATGTCAACGGGGGCGTGAAATTGATTTGTGTGTCGAAATCAGACAGATGTGTAACGTGACGTCATTGTGATAGTGGGCAATATTACATTTTATACAGAATGCAGTGTAAATGGCAGAGCAAAGTTTTATACAAAACAACTATTGTAGTAGCCTATTTTCTGTTAACGCGTCCGTAAATTTGGGATAATTCGAGTTTCACCCAAATTGATATTGTTATCGTCTAGGGAGCAACCTCACAGCTGCTTTGTAAAATGAAATGGCATGTTATTTTGAAACTGGAGATAATACTGTTTTTTTTTTAATATCAAGTATACTTTAAATATTTTTGTACTTTGTGTTTAAAGTTCGCTTTAAAAAATAGGATTGATAAAATTTAATATCACAACACGTGCATTGATCTAGTCTCAAAGCAGGATTTCTCCTGTTTTGCGGGCATAAGAAAATGATATTATAAAAATAAAGTTACAGCCTATATATGTTACACAGTTGGGTACAGGACGTCTCTTATTTCTGAGTGAACCCTATCACACAGCAATTAGTCTGCCGTATTGCTTCATTGTGTGTTGGTGGAATTTACATGTTTTCGAAATACTTTTAAATTCCTCAGACATGTATGATAATTCAGTGCCCTAGAGATCTTAGATTAAGAAAAGAATCCTCGATTAAAAATCAATGCAGATGTGTTGTCACCGCTGAGGACAAACATGAAATACCTTGTGGAGTTTGAAAAAGGGTTTCCTATTTTCGAAACGTAGCAGCATTATATTACTAAGCCGTGTAGTGGTGGTGTAAGAATATCTACTACACATATCGTCCCATGAGACTTTTAAAAGGTGACATAGGTACTCGTAAACTAACAGCAGTTTTCCCAATAATAACTAGAAAACAAAACTGCGGCCGTCGACCCGCTAGCCAAGCTTGGCAACAATTACAAAAATCTCTTTAAAGGCAATTTATGTTCAGAAGTGGACTTCTATAGTCTGTGATAGATGGATGTGCTGGTATTATATTATAGCTTGATTATTCCCCGGTCGAGTCGGCCTTTCATGCCAAGCCTAGTTAACAACAGGCTTTTAAGTTATTCACTACGAAAAAATAATCTTCTCCTAATAAATAGCCCGTAACAGTTCTTTGCTGAACATGGGCCTCTTTATATGAACATTTATTTTATCAGTTTTTTATTTTACAAAAATTTCTCCAAGTTTTTCGGTTGAAATATAGCTTTAATCATTCCTGACATTGCTCTATCTGTTCTTGAAGCTTAATCACAATCGGTTCAGACATTTCAGAGATTAGCTCGGATAGAGCGATATAAATTTTTTTTTACAAATGGTTATTTATATCTGGCATACAAATAACCCACGCAGTTCACAATATAAGACAGTTATTTCGATATTACATACTGACTACAGATTATCAAAAAAAAAATCAATCATAAAGCCGTAATTCTTCGATCATGTGCACGTGTCTCAGGATTTCACATTTTGGTAATTCCGACCGCGACTAGGCAATCGGGGGTTTGGGAACGCGCTTGTAGACTACGCAATTTATTGGCCATCTCCCTAAGGACAGCTCTGCTAACGAGTCTGTGGGCACATTGATTCATTAGATACGAGTACATACAAACATTCTAAGTAATTTGGATCACTCACTCAACTTAGTATTAATTATAAAAAGGAAAAGCATGTAGTATAATATAAATGATTTATTCCTTGTGAGACCTGTATCATAATATATTTAAACCTTACAGATATAATTTTAATGATTATATAAATGGCTAAAGAACCTGTAATAGACAAATTATGGTCTTTTCATTCACCTACTTATTAAATTCAAGTAAGATTTCTTGTATATATATATAATTAGATTCTAATAATTGTTAGTACCAGCAGTAGTTGGTTTATCAACGGTCGAATTGAAACACACAAATTTTAGTTTTGTATATAATTTATTTCACACTATTATAATAGCATTGGAATTTAGATATATTTAGATTTATAGATTCCAAATGAGACAATGTAAAACTGCGTAATGCGTATGCCAGTCTGCTGGTGAGGATCTTCTACGTATAACCACAGAATATACTTAGTCAGGTCATAAGTTCTGTCAATTTTTTTTTATAAAATTAATGTTTTGATAATTATATAAAATTATATATGAAATGAAAGGTAATTTAATTTAGAATAGAATTTTATTAACATTATTTAAAATGCCCTCCCCTATTTTGAATACATGCCCTTAATTGACGCGGCCAATCATCAATTGCAGCACGCACACACTCATTTCTTTTTCTGCGGCTGCTTTAGTCAATAATGAGCCGTGGTAGCTCAGATGGGTAGCGCTCGCTGTACGCTTCACAGTACTCGAGCAACCTGGGTTCGATCCTCGCCGGCACCAATGAAATTGTAAATTGCAATTTTAAGTGCTGATTTACCACGTGCTCGGCGGTGAAGGAAAACATCGTGAGGAAACCTGCATATCTGAGAAATAAGAAAAAAAATATTTCGAAGACATGTGAAGTTCGCCAACACGCATTGGGGCAGCGCGGTGGACATTTCCATGCCCTAAAACCCTCCCAGAAATGAGAGGAGGCCTGTGCCCAGCAGTGGCATTACTTTTTTAGTCAAAGATG